AATGACCTGGAGACATAATGGAAATGCTTGCTTTAAAGTACACCAAAGGACAGATATTAACATACACAGTTCTGTATTTGTTGGTTCTAATAACATTTTATCGTTTCTGTTAACTCTAAGTAGCATTCATAAAAATCAGCTTATTTGTAAGTCTCACAATAAATCTCATTTTTCTTTTGTTCACCTATTTTTTGACAAACATATGCATGTTCACATATACCAATATTAACACCTGCAGACATACATATGTGCTATTTGACTGATACATTTCAGTTACAGGTATAGATGACCATCCAATCATCCTGTGAAGCTGTGTCTACCTGTGGAAAATGAAGTCAAAGTTTGGATAATTATCTGGATGACTCATTCCAAAGCTTTCTGTGGGTAAGGGGGATGGCTTTGTAAGTGAGATAATAGTAACTACAATTGATAAGGGCACATTATCATAAGAAACATTTTCACATTTCCAAATTTGAAGCTCATTACAATCCTGGGAGATGAGCAGGTAAGTTTTTAATATATACACACCTCTCTGCTTTATGATAACGTCAAATAAATTTGAAACATGCATATCCTTAGTAGTTATACTTGATCAGATCTGACACATTGTGTAAATAATTGGCAAATAATTAATAAAGCCTCAAGACTGTCCTATATGCAACTCATTGTTTCTCTTCCTTGCTTATGTGTATATGTACATGTCAGTGTTTGTAGAAATGTCACCCCTCCTCTGAAATTCTTGCAGAAAAAGGAAAATCCCACTCCTTCCCCTGTTGATCCAGTGGGTGCTGGAGCCAGAGGTTCTGTGTTCAAACACCAGATCGAGCATTTGTTGTTTGCTTGCACTTTACCTCTTTAAGCATGAGCTGCCCACCAATCAAACAGTGACAAAAGGACTATCACAGACCGGGCCAAGGCAGTGGGTTCTGAACCCAGCCTTACTTCACTAAGTCACCACAACAATACTCTGATATAGGCATTATTATTTTTATAAACATCTCATTTTAAAATGACAGATTAAAAACAAACTGAAAGTGCATACTTCTTATGTATTAAGTTTATAGCTAGGCATTTTCCACAGATCATTCACTTTCATGAAAAATGAACTAATTCATTTGAAGGCCCAATACAGACTTTCAAAGAAATATATGAGGAGTAGCCATGATTTTCGAGTGGCTTTTAAACTACATGCTATTTCTTCTTCTATTTGTAGGTGAGGCAGTCTCCAGGTTAGGATGTCATGCTGGTCACCTCTGTTCCCATTCCATGCTAATGGCAGGCATCACTAATAAATTACAGCCCTCCTTTCCTTATAACTTGGAGATGGCTTCAGAATGCTTCTCAATAATTCACTCCAGAAAGCCACCAGTAAATGATCAAAGCTGGCACTTGAGATGAAAACTATTTCTCTTCTCTACCACGTGGATGCTTGCCTTCCTCCCTTTCATACTCAGCCTCTTTTAAAGCAGTGTATCAGTAATTTCTCTACAACCCAATTTTGCCTGACCTTTCACTACTACCTTCAACTATTTCGAGTTTTGTGTTCTCAGTGACTGCAGAAGCACTAATGGTAATTTTTTATATGGATTCTCCAACTTGTTGATGACTATAATACTACAAATTGAACTGAAGCAAATTTTTCTTTATCATAATTGCAGATTCTACATGCTGATCACTGTTGGAGGTGTCACCTCTTCCTTGGAAATCATGCAAAACCAAAGCTTTGTAACTGAATTTGTTCTCCTGGGGCTTTCACAGAATCCAAACGTTCAGAAAATATTATTTGTTGTATTTTTGTTTGTCTATATTGCAATAGTTGGGATAAACATGTTAATTGTAGTAACCATCCTCAGCAGCCCTGCACTACTGGGATCCCCCATGTACTTCTTCTTGGCTTTCCTGTCCTTCCTAGATGCATGCTTCTCCTCCGTCTTCACCCCGAAGATGATCGTGGACTCCCTCTATGAGAGGAAAACCATCTCCTTTGAAGGCTGCATGATGCAGCTTTTTGCTGCACATTTCTTTGGTGGGGTGGAGGTGATTGTCCTCACAGCCATGGCTTATGATCGGTATGTGGCCATTTGCAAGCCTTTGCATTACTCTTCCATCATGAACCGAAAGCTCTGTGGATTTCTGTTGGGGGTAGCCTGGGCAGGGGGCTTCTTGCATTCCATAATACAAATTCTCTTTATTTTCCAGTTGCCCTTTTGTGGTCCTAATGTCATTGATCACTTCTTGTGTGACTTGTATCCATTACTGGAGCTTGCCTGCACCGACACTCACATCTTTGGCCTTTTTGTGGTCGTCAACAGTGGCTTTATCTGTATCATAATCTTCTCCTTTTTGCTTGTCTCCTATGGTGTCATCTTGTTCTCCCTGAGAACTCATAGTTCTGAAGGGCGGAGAAAAGCTCTGTCTACCTGTGGATCTCACATTACTGTTGTGGTTTTGTTCTTTGTCCCGTGCATATTTGTATACGCACGACCTCCATCTGCTTTCTCCTTTGACAAAATGGTGGCAATATTTTACACCATCCTAGCTCCCTTGCTCAATCCTTTGATTTATACTTCCAGGAATAAGGAGGTAAAAAATGTCATGAGGAAAGTATGGAATGGGTTGGTGGCGGTTTCTGATGGAAAATAAAATATTAAATTCTTTTTTATAAAATCAAGGTTAAGAGGAAAAAAGTCAAAATGGTCTTGGACAAAAACTATATGAGATATATCTTATACAGAAAGCGAGAACATAATGTTATAACAAAAAGCATTAATGGGTGGGTCAGAAAATGATGTCTTCACCTTCTGATCACTCATCAACTCTAAGTTGCCAGCCCAATAGCCACATATGTAAACTAAAGAGTGTTGAATTTTATATTTACTTAGAACCTACTAATAAAAAAAGGAATGACAAGAGAAATTACCTTATTGGACTTCTTGCCATTACTTTATGCTTTGAGAAATCTTTTTGGAGGGAGAACAAAAATATCTTAGAAATTAGGGACTGAAATTTGCCCAAAATATGCCAGTTGAAAACAAGTTTATATTTGGGACACTGATATCAGTGACTCCAAGGAAGAAAACAGCCAAGACTCAGACACAGCAGAGTCAAGAGCATTCACAGAATTTCAACTACAGCTGTTTCTGTTTCACATGACTCTATCATTTAATGTGGGTTCATTACCAACTACTAGAGAATTTGAGTTGCTCAGTGAATTTCTTAAGAGATAAAACATGATAGGCCCAGTCCTGCCTATAGATGAGTTTCTCTTAGGTAGGTAAACACCTCATGCCAATCAGGTACGGGAAAAAAAGAGGGAGCAGATTCCACAAAGGAGTTAGCAATGAGTATCTCTTATTCAAGCACAATCTAAGGGAACACTTGAGAGACCAGGTTACTAGCAAACCAGTACCAAAGCTGCAGATGTAGTGAGCTGATTTCCCCCCTACATAGGAATAGAAGCCAGGGGCATCAGAGAGCAAAAGGCAGATTTCAAAAGAGGATTACTTTTCATTGTATTTGGTGATTTAAATTTTCTTGACTTTGTCCACCCAAATGAAAATAATTCTATTTGAATAATTATCAATGAAGAGATCATTTAAATGTACACACATTTCATAATCATTCCTATAGTTAAGGTTCATGAGTCTCAGGTTGCCAAGTGTCTTCTGTAATAAAATTATTTGCAGTAAAACGTTTCAGTTTCTCCTATCACATCAATAATAATAAAATGCATAATAATCAAGTATTACAGGAAAAAGCACTAAGTGACATTTTTCCTTTAATCTTCCATGACAGTCCCAAAGTAGATGAGTGTATGATATGAGTTTTTTTCTCAGAATAGATATGACAGAGTACAGGTAAGATTTCATTGATCTTCATGGGGAAGTCCATGAGGGATTAAGAATAGGATCTAAAACATTATCTGAATAAATGTGTGCACTGCAGCAGACCAAGTGCGCAACAAGGGCTTGGACATTCTGGGGAGCTTTTCCTGCTTCCTTCCCCGGCTTCTCCATCATCTGTCTGTCATCGTGGAATGGGCAGCTTCTTAATGTCTTTTTCCCTTCACATAGAGGTTCTTATTGTTAAGTTTCCTTTATCCCTAAAAACTAGCTAGAGATTGATGATCTGCTATGATTGGCTCAATTAATTTATAAATCTGTGAATTGAAGATTTGACATACTGTAGAATAAAACATTATTCTGGCCAGATTCTTGTGAACAACACAGATTCATGCCTGATCCATGAAACACTCAAATTCAGAAATACTTTTATTCTTTTAACTCCCAACTTCTCATTGTGAACTCTGGTAATAATATATAAGGAGAAAAGAAAGCAAAATATTTAACACATGAAAACACAAACACCAAAAGACATCTGCTCAAACTTTTCCATTCCAACTAGGTTCATGACAGAATTTTGCAAATTCTCCTAACAATATAAATTCCTTTAGCTTTCCATTTTATTTTCTATGTTGATTTTACCTAGGAATGGTGGAATTCATTCTAATAAGTTGACTCGGTAGGATGGGGTCCAGAATCTTAAGATTTTATTTTCAGTTTACAGGGGAAATAACTTGAGGAACACAGAGGCAACATTTTAGATTTTACCCTCTGTGTTACACATATCCTTTATCTTTATATACAATGGACAAAAATTGAGTCACAGAGCTACAGGCAGATGCACAGGGGGCAGAGGAAAGTAAGCAGTACTTCGGTGGTCATGACAGGTATGCCTCTGTTACTGCACAGGAGGGGAGAATAGGTTTTAGTGAACAATTATCAGCCCTGTCACTGGCACCTGACACCAAGAACACCCACAGAAATATTTTTCACTCAAAATAAATTCTATTTCGCAATTATTTATAGACAAACTATTACTGCAAAGTACTATTCTAAGTAGCAATGAAAAAAATCCTATATTCACAGCTAACAACATAGTAGATTATGCTCTTCCAAAACATTTTATAGCAAGTCCAGAAGTTTTGTGAGTTCCCAGAAATTTGAAAATATTGTGTGAATTTTTCTTCTACTAGGGATTGCCAGTTTTAAAAGAGAATGTTTAAGTTTATGTTCTGAATCCCTCCAGCACTATAACTTTCCTGTGTTCATCATAGATCTCATCCCCCCCAAACCCCAACGCATACACATCAAATCCCCTTTCATTAGATCCTCTGGATCTCGGGTCAATAATAAGCAGAATCCTCTACCATTCCAATCTCTTATGTGAACATTTCCTTTCTTTTATTGCTTTCCTCTTTCTCCTCTCCATGTTTCCACTTAAGTGAGGCATTTTCTTCTCCCGTAGTTCTCATGCTGAAGGCCTACAGATGAGACTTCGTTCTGGTTGCTTCTCACTGCTACTTCCAGCTCATACCCCTGCTTCAGTTCGTGATTATTCCTAGTTTCTAATCTCAATCTGACTATACCAGACTCCACTTTTTCTTATAAAAATCATTCACTGCTTCCAGGGTCATTTCCTCTTGTACCTTAAAGGTGCCAGCTCCTGGCTCACTGACACTCAAAGTGATTCTGCCATACTTCTTGGAGATTTTAACATCCACATAGATGATCCTTCCAATATATTGGCTCCTAAATTGACTAACTGGCCAATTTTCTTCTAGGAATCTCGTCCTTTAATCAATCTCAGCTGTTCACTCCCATGGTCATACCATAGACCTTGTCATTAACATCATTTTCAAACCTTCACTAATCTCAATTTCATACTCACTAATATTCAACCACGTATCCATTATTTCCAGCTTAATTCTACCAGTGCTCAACTCTAACAATTCTTTAACTCCATCACAACATACAAATCATTGTTCCTGCCAACTTTTTACATGACCCCGGACACACTCCTGCCTAAGAAACTATGAAAAATAATTCTCTGTCTCAGTTATTCTTCCTCCAGATATGTGCATGTCTTAACCCCTCACTTCCTTCAGTTGATTCTTCAAATATATCTTCTCAGTGATGCATTTTCTGACTGCCTCACAGTGTAGCAAATCCCACTCACTAACATTTTGTGACTTCTATTTCTACATTTCTGTTTAAGTTTTCTACTTAACATTTATCATCACCTAACATGTCATACAGCTTAATACTTTTTTTATTGTTTATACACTAGAA